TTTGTTTGTTGGCTTTTTATTTGCCAGAGGAGGCGCTTGGGGGGGGGGAGGAGGGAGGGAGGGAGGGAGGGAGAGAAGGAGAGAAAAGGGTAGGGGGGAGAGAGAGAGAGAGAGACAGACAGACAGAGGGAAAAGGAGAAAGCACCCCACAATGTAGCATGATCATGCCTCCATTTTTCCAGCCCATGGACATTTTGGGCTCACAAGTACATGTGATAGCTCTTTAACCACCAGATGCCAGTTCCTGCCTGAGGTGCTTTGTTTTTTAAATATCATCATAAACTCTAAAATTCATTTGATAAGTTTCAATCCAGGACGTTATATTTATTGATCCTCAAATTGCCTTGTCTTTGGCTGGTAAGAACCTATTCTAGATGGACTCTGGTTCCTTTCAATATTCCCTCATGGTCCCTCATGTTTCTGAAAAGCTCCCTTGCTTTGGTGTAACAGTACGCCCCATGCTCATCTAGCATACATCATGCACCAGACCTAGGATGCTTCAAAGGAGCCTCAGTTCTTTTTAGTGGGATATAGAATTTGAAGGCCATAATCTGAGTTGGTTAGGCCAGAAATACATATTTATTTTTAAAGATAAAATATGTCATAAATTCATTCTTTCATTTCAGATAAAAATCAGGACTATGGTATTTCTAGATGTCTTTTCTTCATCCCCTCTGTGACATCAGCACAACTCAGCATGGGCTTCATCCTCAGACACATCATGGCCTCAAAATAATGATAACAACACTAGCATCAGCAATACTACCACTGAAACTTTTCTTTTTAGATTTTTGCCATAGTTCATGTGTGTTTGCCAGAGAGAGACAGAGAGAAATAAAAAGAGGGAAAGTGAGAAATTCCCCTTAAGGTGGATGGTCATGTCACAATCCTTACTCCTCCACTATCCTCTCAGGATTGTGGACATACATATATATGCACCCAGCGTGTTTTTCAAGCCACTGGGTCTGGATCTTCAACTGTGCAGTAGGCCATGTGGGATCCAATGCCTTAACCACCATGCCACATGCTAGCCTTCTGCTGAAGCTTTTTAAAGACTTTTTTGTGGAGTTATTTTTATTCATAAAGTGTACCTCACTAGTCATATGCAATGAGATGATGTGTTAAGTCTCGGAATGATTTCTCTCTGTGATATTACGCCACCAGTGGAGTGCACAGTTGGGTTCATTTTTTTCCATTTTATTTTGGAGTTTTTGGATATAGCTTTAAACTTTTTTTTTTTTTTTTGCATTTCAATAACTTTATTGAAAGGTATTTCTTTACCAAAACATAATGATGGTTTGTTAGGTTATCTCTACCAACTCAAAATTAACATTGATGTATTCAAAATATTGAAATATATCAACCTTTTGGGAAAATAAAAGTTATCCATAAAACAAGGTTTATAAAAGTTAAGATATATTGTGTTTCTTCGGTTTATTTTTCAGTGCTTGCTTATCAACAGCATACCAAAATTGGTTAGAGCCATTCTGGATGGCCTCAGGCTACACACTGTGCTGAGTAACTGTGTCAACACTGTAGATCACCTTACATTCACTGACTGACGTGGAGAATCCTGAACACAACTTCAGTGACTTCACAGCAGTGAAGATGCCTACTTACTTTTCTTAAACTTTTGTTTTGACATAGTAGGAACATTAATGAAAGTACATTCTTTTAAATAGAATTCTAAATGAGAAGGAATGGCAGTCCTTAGTAAAAACTTCTAAGTGTCAAATCTAGCCTCTACTTACTTTAACAGGATAAAGCAAGTTTTCAGAGTAATCATTTTCTTTGAAAACTAATATTCCTGATGGGATTAAATTGAGGCAGTAGATTCTGCATAAAAAAATTTATTATGAATACAAACATCACCTGTTTTCTACAAAAAATATTAAAATTAACTTAATGAATATGCCAAACTCATTAGGTCTGTACTTTTGCTTTATATAAAATGCCCTCAAATCTAAATATAATTCCCATGTAGCAATAAAGTCTGTATCTCTGAATTATCTATTACTTGCATTACTGATGCCAAGAAACCATCTACCATAACCCTTAATATGCCTTCAAAGTGCATTTGTGAAATGTTGGTATTGATGTAAACCTCCTAATTTAAAAGTTAATATTTAAATTAAGTAGGTTACCATTTTTGATACCACTTAAATACAACATATTGATCCAATATAGAAAATTAGATCGATGTCAGAAATGAAGATTCATAGTTTACTTTCCCAGGCTTGTTATTAGTGTTTCATAGCTTTAGCTTTGATTTGGATGCTTCACAGATGAATCCAAATGTACATATACTACCACTACAGCATTATTAATCAGGCAGCAGTTTTCCCAAGTCTGGGAATATTGTGCAAATCCAATTATGCTGTTTTGAGGCTTCATAGCTTAAATCTGTTACAACACTGGCATCCATAGGTCAAGGTTGAGGAGGAAAGCTTCAAAGAAGTTTTTTGTTACTGCATTAATCTACTTAAATCAAAAACAAAGAAACCCCACCTTACCAGAAATCTGCCTAAAAACTGTTAAAAGTGAACTGTTCATATCTAACACTCATAATCATACGTAGATGTGTTAAATGTTAACATTTGGTTTGAGGAGAAAAAGATGAATCACTGTGAGTTAAGAAATGTATATGGCAAGAATGTATATTATATATGCAGTGACCAGATTTACATATTTAAATGAATATACCTATTTTTCTGTAGTCCAACTGTTACAGAAATGATATGTAACTACAGTGCTGATGTCTCAGTTTCCAGATAGTTGCTAACAATTTCCAGACACTCAGTGTAGAAACCATCTGACATATCTTACTTTTGCTTTAAGTATAATATCCAGGTTTGTGTTCATTTGGCTTGTAAGTCTCAAATTAGTTCATGTATGGTTCAAACTTTTGGTCCTGTTATCCTCCTCAGGCTTGTGCAACTTTAAATGAGGCAGAGTTTGGGTCTGGCTTTGATTTGGATGCTTAGCAAGATGATGTACAATAAAAAAATACTATTTTAGAGGTACTTTTAATGTTCAGGCTATTAAGGAGGATGCTGTTTTCTAAGCTGATGATTTACTGACATGGCTAACATACTTATCAGAGATCGGATAAGTCCTTACTCAGGGTGTTGCTGTAGCTTACATATGTTGGGTTAGAAAAGTAATGAGGTATTTTTCTTCTATTTTTTTACGTAAAAATGTGTCATAGACTTTTCTGACAACCCCTAGTAAATGTCTTCAAATACTGACCCACTAGACCAGTGAAGTCATTTTCCCCTTTGCTACTACAACTCCATTTTGTTTATTTTGAAGATAATATTCTAATCTCTCAATTGTAAAAGAAAATTACAGCATTGGAAAAATTTTTCTTCATGGAGAATAACAATGAATCATATTTACATATTTAAGGAACCATTTCAAGAATTGTTGGGAGGTAAGTTATTCTGTAGTAACTATGCTTCAGTTGCTGTACAGTATGCCCAGAAACTATCCATTTCAACTTCTGAACATTTGGTTTGAAATAGTTGTTTGATGAATATTCATTTAGACACTTGGATACAAGTTCTTGCCAGAAGGTCAACTCTCTTCCATTTATCTTGGAATATTTCTGAAAACATTCTGTTCTTTGTGTTAACTCCACACACTTCTGTGCTTGGATCTCCAATGCAATGATAAACAATGCCGACACAGAAGGCTTTGCTTTAGAAAATGTGATCCTGCAGTGACATGCCTTAAGTTGAGCTTCTAGTTTTTCAAAATTAAGGCTACTTCTCCTTTAAAGTCCGGGCAAGTTCTCTTGAGTGAATAAGAGAGTTGCAGAAACTGGAAAGCAGTAGTAGCTTCGACTTTCCAATATATCTTCTCCAGTACAATCGTCTCCCTTTTCATCCAAACCTCAAACAGTGAACCTATGTTGACTAATTAGGATCAAGTCAGTTGCCAATGGGACATTCCTCTCATCCTCTATTGAGTTTACAGCCAAATAGAAGCAACTCAGTCCAACACACCCAAAGTGCTTGGGCTGTACCTTCATTTTAGACAGGAATTTGTCCAATAAACTCACAATTAGAGAAAATGTCTCTGTGTCAAAGTCAAAGAACTGAGTTATACTAAGAAGAGCTTTTACTTCAAAGTCCCTTACCCTTGCACGGACTCATTCTGAGGCCATTATTGTGTGCAGACTCAGTAATTCTCAAGCCACAGACCTTTGGTTGACATCTCAACTCTTGTTACAACTGGGCATTCAGCTGGTGTAGTAGTTTCTGAGAGTCACCTGTTGTCAGTACCTCTATCGTCTTGATAGTGACTGCAGCTCCTCAGTGGTAATCACCCCTCCTGGGCCTGTTCACCCCATGATATCAGAACCAGAAGCCTGTAAGGTGAGGGGACTCAGGTAAGAAGGGACTGGCCTGGGGAGGGTGAGCTGTTCTGGCGGGAGGTCTCCATAGCGCCACCTAGATGACACTGCCCTAACCAGGGGTCAGTTCAGAACCAAAAGGGGCTTTTAAACATTTTTTACATTTAATTCTGTTTCATGATTATGCAAAATATTCACATAGTTCCAAAGTCAAATCTGCTGAATACCTCCCTACTCTACCCTTCCATTTCCATAGTTACTTACTGTTTTTTAAATTTTTTTTTTTTTGGAGCAGTTTTTGCTATAGGGCGCGTGCGCTTGCCAGACAGACAGAGAGAGACAGAGAGATAGAAAGCGAGAAATCACCTCCCAGGGGGGATGGCCACGCCGCAATCCCTTCTCCTCCATTCTCCTCTCAGGATCTTAGGCATGCATGCACAAGAGCCCGGTGTGAGTTTAAGCCACTGTGTCCGGGACTTGCACTACGGTCGACTATGTGGGAGTCCAGTGACATAGCCATTACGCTAACTGCTGGTCCCTGTTTTTTAATTTTTAAAGTTATTTTTATTTAATATTTTAAACTTTGACCAGAGAGAGAGAAGGCCTCCAGGTCCAAGACTTGAACCAAGATTGGCCATGTGGGAGGTCCAGCACCTTAACCAACATACCATCTTCTGTTGTTTTGCTTTTCTTTTTAAAGTATAAGTTAATATGAGGATATATTTGCACTGCCTACTTTTTCTGAAATGGCAGCACACTATACACAATATTTTGTCTTCTTTTTTTCACTTACCAATGTACGCTGCAGATGATTCCATAGTGTACAAAAAGTATGCATAACTATCCATTGTGCAGAAATACATTTACTTTTCTTTTTGAAAATAAATGTGTATCAGGCTGGCTCCATGACTGGTGGTTAAGACAGTTAGATCCCACCTGGCCAACCCTGCAGTTCAAATCCTGGACTTGGTGGCTTGAAAAACACACTGGGTATGTGTGTGTGTGTGTGAGTGCTCAAAATCCCCATGGAATGGAGAGATGGAGGAGAAGAGTTTGTGATGTGACCATTTCCCAGGTGGGGATGCAAGGTGCTTTCTCTCTCTCTCACTCTGTCTTGCTCTGACTAACACATATGCCATCTGGGAAGATTAAAAAAAAATTCAGGACCAGCAGATGGTGTAATGGTTATGTTGCTTGACTCTTACACAGTTGACCATGGTTTGAGTACGGGAACCAGCGACTTAAAACTCATGCTGAGTGCATAAGCGTGTGTGCCCAAAACCCCAAAAGGAGAATGAAGGAGAGGGGACTGAGGCATGGCCATCATGGGGTGGGGGGGTGATTTCTCATTTTCTGATTTTCTTGCCCTTTATGCCCACAAACACTTAAGAAAAAAAAAAAAAAAAAAAAAAAAAAAAGATTTTACTATATATATAATTTTATATCTTTCTTTCCATTAAGCACTTTTCTTGTCAAAAATAGGCTTTTAATGGCTACATACTATATATGCTCATGTCTGCATGAAGAAGCACAAAATTCATTTTGAATTCCCTGATGATATCTCTGTGTGTCTTGATTAGTAAATCTTGGAAATTCTTCTGTCAGATTTCTTTTCTTTTCTTTTTTTCTTTTTTTGGAGAGGTTTTTGCTATAGGGCGCATGCGCTCGCCAGACAGACAGAGAGAGACACAGAGACAGAAAGTGGGAAATCCCCCTGCAGGGGAGATGGTCACGCTCCAATACCTTCTCCTCCATTCTCCTCTCGGGATCTTGGGCACGCACGCACATGCACCCCACGTGAGTTTTAAGCCACCGGGTCCGGGACTCGAACCGTGGTCGACTTCGTGGGAATCCAGTGACATAGCCATTATGCTAACTGTTGGTCCCCAGATTTCTAGGCTGGTTGCTATAACAATGCCCATTTTCTGACACATTCTCTTTGAAGTTTCCTGAAACTCCAGAGAAAAAGGAATAGAACTCTCTTTCCTAGATAATTTAGTTCTCCCCCTTCTCCCCTTCTCTCTCTCCTTCCCTCGCTTCTGAGTAATGGCAAGGCTCCTGGGAAATCTAAATTTCTGATTTGTTCTATAAAAGTTAAAGATCCTGATCCTAAAGAATCAAATGTAAGATTTATTAATAGTTGAAGCTTGAAATAATTTATTTCTTATGTCTTATCTAGATTTTCCAAGTTATTAGACATTTCAAATCTTTAAGAAAAAAAGATAGCAAAAGTCTGAAAAAACTAGAATTTAAAACATTCTTTTTTTTTTTTTTCTAGGTCTTTGCTCTAGGGTAATGTGCTCCCTGGAGTGAGACAGGGACAATGAGAGGGAAAGTGAGAAATCACCGCCCCCCCCAGGAGGGATGGTCATGTTGCAATCCCTTCTCCAATTCTCCTCCTGGGATTGTGGGCATGCAAACTCATGTGCCCATTGTGATTTTCAAGCTGCTGGGTCTGGGGCTTGAACTGTGGTCAACCATGTGGGAGTAGAGTACCTTAACTACCATGCTATCTGCTGGCCCCTAAAATTTCTTATTTTTAAAAGCAGTGTACACAGTTTAAAAGATAGTTTTGCAAACATCTTTACAAATGAGATTTTATACTAAATTATGGGCCATTACTATTTACTTTAAATATTACAATACTACAAAGTAATTTAAAAATGTCAAACTTATTTGTGTTACATTAAAAGGTTAACAAAATAGGGGCCAGTAGGTGGCATGGTTGAGGCACTGCACTCCCACATGGCCAACCATGGTTTGAGTCCCAGACCTGGCAGCTTACTTCCTCACTTTCCCTCTCCCTTTCTCTGGGAAGCCTATGTGCCCTCTAGCAAATTTAAAACTAATAATGATAAGGGGGCAGCAGTTAGTGTAATGGTTATGTCCCTGAACTCCCATGTAGTCGATCACGGTTAGAGTCCCAGACCCAGTGGCTTAAACTCACACTGTGTGTGCATGCCCAAGATCCTGAGAAGAGAATGGAGGAGAAGGGATTGTGGCGTGGCCATGATTTCTCGCTTTCTCTCTCTCTGCCTCTCTCTGTCTTTCTGGCAAGTGCACGTGCCCTATAGCAAAAACCTCTAAAAAAAAATAAATTTAAAAAAAGGTTAACAAAATAAACCAACATTAATATGATTAAATAAAAATGATTAAAGAAATCTTATTGATGAATAGAATGGAGCTTTAATTTCTCTAATTACAGCACATAGTTACCAGGCTGTTAACTCATTCTAATAATTGCAGTCCTCTATCTGTTCATGTGACTGTAGGAAGAAACTTAATATGAGAGAAATTTTTACAAAGTTAAATAACATAAAGGTACAGTAGGTATAAATAGCGCTATTTTGAGAAAAAGAATTTCACAATTTTTTCTCACATTTTCTTTAAAAAAAATACCTTGAGTTTTTGTTGAAGGCGTTTTACTTCCACTTGCAGAGTCTTTGTAGCTGCTTGAGCTGCCAAAGTCTTCCGATTTTCAATAGCCAACTGCCGACCAAAGGCTCTATTGTTCAACCTCAGCTGTTTTTCCAAGCTCTGAAAACAGGATATATCTCAACTATTCTGTAACCAACTTGGTATTATTAAACACTTCAATTATTATAGAACTAATTGCATTTAGGAGAAGTGCAAAATTTCAATATAGTTTTAGTGAATAGCTTGCCTAGAGGACATATGCTAGAATTAACATTATACAACAACAACAAAAAGACAAGAAAACCCTCAGATCCCAGCTTTAAAGAATAAATATTATACTTGTGTATTCTTTTTTTTGTTTTTTTTTAGAGGTTTTTGCTATAGGGCGCATGCACTTGCCGGACAGAGACAGAGAGACAGAAAGCAAGAAATCACCCCCCAGGGGGGATGGCCACGCCGCAATCCCTTCTCCTCCATTCTCCTCTCGGGATCTTGGGCACGCACACACACTTGCCCAGCGTGAGTTTAAGCCACTGGGTCCGGGACTCGAACTGTGGTCGACTACGTGGGAGTCCAGCGACATAGCCATTACGCTAACTGCTGGTCCCAATACTTGTGTATTTCAAGTCCAGTGTTTTTTACATACTCTGGAATTTAATAAAATTTTATTAAACAGATCCTGAAGATCAATAAATATAATCAAGGTCATACTTTAAAAAAAATCTTGGGTCAGCCAGTGGTGTGGTGGTTATAGTGGTTGGATCCCACATGGCCACATGCACTTTTGGAATCCAGACCTACTAGCAGCTTGAAAAACATGCTAGGTGCCTCTGCATGTGTGCCCCAAATCTCTAGGGAATGGAGGAAAAGGGATTGCAGCAACATTGTCATCTCTGCTAGGGGATGCTTTCTCACTTTCTCTTTTTCTGTCTCTCTGGTGAGCACAACATGCTCCCTATAGCAAATTAAAAATAATAAGGGGCCAGCAGGTGGCATAGTGGTTAAGGCACTGGATTTCCACATGGTCAACTGAGGTTCAAGTCCTGGACCTGGTGGCTTGAAACTCATGTTGGGTGCATGTGGCTACATGTCCAAATGGAGAATGGAGAAGAGATTATGGCATGGCCATTCTCCCTAGGGGGAATTTCTCTCTTTCACTGTCTCTCTGGCAAATGCATACACCCTATAGCAAAAATCTCTCTTAAAAAAGTAATAATAAAATAAAACAGAATCTAAACAGTTCTGCTCAAATGAGCTATTCTACTACCTTTGCACAGGGTGCTCTTTCACCCTTCCAGGCCTCTATCCAAAAAGGGTGTTCAGCAGCAGTGCAGACCATCACAGGCAGTGACAAAGATTTCCAGGTAACAGACTGAAAGTTAAAGCTGGGGTTCAGACCACCACATCCACATCAGTAGAGTACAAGGCACTTGATAGTCAGTACATACTAGATAGTGCAAAACGATCTGGTAACCTGCTCTCTGCAATGAGAGCTTGCTTACTGGAGAACGACCTGACTTGGCCAAAAGGACTTTTATTTTTTAAACATGAAGTGGGGTCTTCTATGTTTTAACATTAATACTTTCCCATTAGAGAAAAGTGGAAAACATGGGAAGCTAAAAGGATTGATAAATTCCATTTCCTAGAATGTTAATGTTAAAAAAAAAATCCCCTAAAAACTCCACATTTTGGACTATATATTTCTGCCACCATATGCCCTATGACCAACTGAAATTTCCCATACTATCAAGTGCTTTTAAAAGCCAAGAAAATAGTTAATTAGCTCTTGGATATGTTTTGGATTTTATCTGTGGCTATAAAAACAGGAGTTAAAAACTTACATGTAAGTGAGATAAATACATTTAATTTGTACACATCTGCTAAGATGGATACAACATTACCTAAATGGCCAAATGATATATCTTTGGTATACAATAGTGAAACACGAGGTTGTACATTATTTTCTGTAGCTCACATATCCATTTTATGTGAAAAAAATCTCTTTGAAAATAGATAATTTTATCAATTAAAGAAACAACTAAGGAAAAAAAGATGAACTCGATAGTTACTTACTTCAACATCACAGAAATTACTAGCCTCTCATCAAGTATAAAGAAATTAAACAGTAAACTAATCCCATTCATGTTCATGTCCATAGAGACCAAATCTAATACAAAACACACAGGAGAGTCCTCCATATGACCAGTGCCTTCTCCCGAATCATTCCTTGTAATTCCAAGGTTTTTGACAGCCAAGTGCTTGTGCTGTTGAGGCAAATCAGTCCACTCACCTCTTAATTATTTTAATGCCTTTTCCTTCCCTATTCTAAGAAGCATTATCAGGAAACAATTATTTCTAAAAAACAAATGTCTATGTGGTAAATGATTGGCCAGACTGATGAGAGAGACTACAAGGGGCTCGAACAGATAAACTGTTTAGATTTTAGGAGAGTAACTTCCAGTAAACAGTTTATAGGATTGATTTCACAGAGGTTTCACTCAACACAAGGCAAACTTTCAGCACCCCCAACACTGGCAACCTTGCTGTCGTAGAGTGGTTACTTCCAGATGAATCAGCCTAGCCACAAAATGAACTCTTGCTCACTACAAAGAATAAACACTTCCAGGTTTGGGCATTTTCTGTTTTTCCTTCATACCTTCCCTCCTCCTCCACGGTCCATTAGACTACATAATTTTTCAGTAATGCAGACTGTTCTGCTGTGTTAGAGAGAAGCAAATATGATTAATGGCTCTGAAATACAGACCTGTATTTTTTTGTCATTTGCCTCCATTTTTGTAGTAAGAATGGACAATCTATTAGTGAGGTCTTCTCTTTCTGCAAGATTTTTATCTTCAGAAAGTTTCTGCAGTGCGTGCAAGGCGTCTCTAGTCTTCAGTAACTCACTGTCGGTTTCTCTGAGTTTCCTGGATACAGTTCGTTCCTTCTCTTGGGATTTCCTAAGTAGCTGCCTTAAACTTTTTACTTCATTCTGATGTTTAACTATAATTTGAGGTAGATTATTTTGTGAATTCTCATATTTTCCTATAGCTTTCAAATGTCTAAACTGAAGCTGTTTCAAAAATTGATTTTCTATGATGATGGCTTCCAATTTACGATATATGTCAGCTAATTCATTTTTTAGTTCTTTAATCTTATGGAGCCTTGCTGAGAGTATTCGGTGAGCCATAGCATCTCTTCTTTGGGTGACCATGTTGATTTGGGCATTAAAAAATGATGCATTCCAGGTGTGCTTTTTTTCAACTGTGATGTCCTTCTGGCCTGTGTAAGCAGATAGTCCAGTTTATTACTAGAAATATGTGGATAATTCAATTTATTATTAGTAATATATACATATATATATGCAAATATACACATATGTATAATCCTCCAGAACACCCCAAGCACACATACACATCTACAGACATGTGTGTAACTAGAAGTGGAAAAAATGTCAGTCATGGCTTTAGTCTAGGTACTTTATATACAGATCTCACTTAATAAAATTCTTTAAGGTCAGATGTAGTATATTTTGTAGCTGAAGAATTTAAATAATTTGTTCAAAGTTACATGGCCATGACTGGTTTGAAAACCAGGTCTGGGGCTGGCAGGTGGCATGGTGGTTAAGGGTGCTGGACTCTCACATGGCCGACCACGGTTCAAGTCTCAGACCTGGTGGCTTGCTTTCTCACTTCCTCTCTCTCTCTCTCTGTCTCTCTCTGATCAAACTGAATAAAAAAATAATAACGATAATAATAAATAAAGTTAAATAAAATACTTAAAAAAATAAAAAAATAATAATAAAAAAGAAAACCAGGTCTTTCTTGATTTCAAAGTGTATACCTAGATTTCAATGATAAAAGCTGTTCTAAAACCACAATAATAGCTAACATTGACTTAGTGCTTATTATATGTCAGACATCACACTGAAGTTTAATATGTTATCTGATGTGATCCATTCAATGGTAGATGATTAGAGTGCAATGTGAGAGCCCAGTGGGAAGATCTTGTATATTCATAATGATACTTAAGCCATTACACTGCTCAGAGTAGGTATGTTATGAACAGTCTGTCTCTCACTAAATCCAACACAACCTATTTTTCTTTGTTACTTTAGTTGAGCACTAAATGAAGTTGCTGGTATGTGTTCAGGGGTCCATTTTTTTTTTTTTAAAGATGTTTTTGCCTTAGGGTGTGTGTGCTTGCCAGGGAAAGA